AAAAAAAAAAAATGTGTCTTCTTAGCTGACTTGGCTACTGCAAAAACTGTTTACTGATTACACAGGTTATAATGAGGGTGAAGGGGACTCTGGAATTTTGTGTTGGAGCCTGAGGAAGAAAAAAGAAACAATGACTTGTGCTGTTTTTGAGTTTCATATAAGATACCTTTGAAAGGTTAGCTGTAGGCTAGTGGGGCTTTATTATTTTTAAAAAACATATTTTAGTATTCTGAGCTAGGTGCTAAAGATAAAAAAGGTAAAATATTGCAGGACTGGAGGTAGAGCTCAGTGATAGAAAGCTTGCCTAGAATGCACAGGGCCTGGGTTCAACTCCTGCCCCAGATCAAATAAAAAAAACACTGAAGGCTGCTTTGTGCCTGGTATGGAGTGTAACAAATGCTTTACTAGGAGAATGTGAAGAAGAGAAGCGTTGGTGGGGAGAAGAAGACATCTGGAGCAGTTGAGTCTGAGGAATGAGTAATAGGTGGCTAGTGAGGGTCTCTGCACATCAGAATCACCTGAGGAGTTTTTAAAACTCTGAAGCCCATAACACACCCCTGACCCGTAAAGAAGAATCTCTCTTGTCGGAAGCTAGGCATCATTATTGGAGATTCCAAAGTGTAGCCAAGGTGGGTTCACTGGTTTAGGGAATATTTTGTGCCATGGTTGGTAGGGGAATGAAATGGTTGAGTGAATGATTATTGTTGGCTTTTTTTCTTAATATTGAGTCTTCTTGTTCATATTTTTTAGGAAGCCATGAGAATTGCCTTCTATATTTGGGTTGGGAAGGAGCAGGAAAGAAGGAGAAGGGAAGGCAGGAAGGGAGAGGGGAGAAGAGATGCTACTTTGGGGCTGTAGCATCTAAGCGCTCAGGGACATTGTCATAAACCATGCCTCCCTTACTGCCAGGACCTCCTGCAAAATTCCCCCAATTCCATGTCTGGAGTCTCCAATAACCCCCAAGGGATTGTGGTCCCAGCCTCAGCACTCCAGCAGGGCAACATCGCCATGACAACTGTCAACTCACAAGTCGTGTCAGGTTGGTGCAGGGAATGGGGTGCTGGGGATTGGGGGGAGCACCCTGGGAGAAGAAAGGGTGGTCTTGGGGAATTCCAGAGTCAGGGTTATCCTCCGCCAATGGAGGGGCTTCCAGTTCAGTTTCTTAACTAAAATGTTCTGCAAATAGCACCAAGACTTGATTTTGATGGGAACAAATTTGGATCAAATTCTTATGAGCATCCCACCAAGGCTAAGTAAAGCTGTGTCACTCCCCCAGATACTTCCTACCAGAGTATCTTGCCTCTGGACACCATCCCCCACACCACCCACTCCCCTCCTACAAGAGGAAGAAACAACCTCACTGTCCCAGAGCTCCAGAGCTGAGGGTCTTCACATGTGAATGCCAAGCAAATTGGGGACCCTGCTTGCCCTCACTTCTCCAACCCCCACAGGGTAGGGGACCCAAAAACTGGTTGTCTCCTCAGGTGGAGCCTTATACCAACCGGTTACCATGGTAACCTCCCAGGGTCAGGTGGTCACCCAGGCAATCCCCCAGGGAGCCATCCAGATCCAGAACACACAGGTGAGTGTCTGTAGGTGTGTGCACATGTGCATGGGTTCTGGGGAAGGCACTCATGATTGGTCCTTATCTGCTGGGTACTTACAGAGTGCCTCAGTTAATCCTCAATGTCCTCTAAGAAGCAGCATGACCCCTGCTTTTCAGATAAGAAGCTAGGTCTGGGCAAGGTTTTATCACCTGTCCAGGGGATCTGCTGCCTCCTGAGTTCACATAAAAGGACCATGTACTTCCCATTCCTCATCTCCAGACCGAGCCAATCTGCACCTCAGTGATATGCAGTGCAGATCTGTAGAAAAAACTGAAGTCAGAGGCCTGAGATCTGACATTCACTCTGTGATCTTGAATAAGTCTCCTAACATCTCTGAGCCTCAGAGTTCTTATAGATAAAGATGGATTAATACCATCTGCACACAGCCCAACCAACCTCCAGGGCTGTTGGGAGGATTAACCATGGTGATGGCTAGGGAAGTGCTTTACAAACTGTGAAGTATCACAGAAATGCTAATAGCTGTTAGATGGTTTATGGCAAATTCATATCTTCAATACTCTCTGCATGCCCCTCTCTCATTTCTTTAGCTCCTCTGCCATCCCCTTTTCTTCCTCTTCTCCTCTTCCTCTTTCTTGCTTGCTCCCCTCACCCCAAGCCTCATCTCCATTCTCTGAGGGGCTGGTGTGGGATGAGAGAGAAAGGTGACTTCCCCAGGGCCCTAAGAATGAGTTGGGAAAGGGGGTTGGCAGTGAGAGCCTGCCGTCACTATGGCAACAGGTCCCTAGCCGCTGGCCTCACAGGCTGCTGATGCTGATTTTTTCTCCACGTGCCCTGAAGGTTAACCTTGACCTCACCTCCCTCCTGGACAATGAGGATAAGAAGTCCAAGAACAAACGAGGAGTCTTGCCCAAGCATGCCACCAATATAATGCGTTCTTGGCTCTTCCAACATCTCATGGTGAGTGTGCGTGTATACTGGGGGTGTGAAGCCACAGTGGGGGGTATGAATAATCCACAGCTTAGGTGCCAGACTCTGCTGTCATTTCCAGACCTGCTGAGGGTGTGGCCTCAGAGAGAGCACAGTACTAGGAGAACCAGCCAGAGCCAGCTCAAGGAAAGCCTAGGTAGAGCCTAAAGCTGGCAACTTTCTAGTGCTGGCAACTGCTACCAGCTTAAAACAGTGCGACAACACAGCAAATAACAGGAACAAGCACTCCAAGAGAGTTATGTATAGGCAGGTGTGCAATATTGTTTTATGAACAGCGGGAGGCTCGGACAGGGTTGTTGTTAGTGGTCTACCCCTCGCTTCTCCTGCAGAAGAACACGTTAATTCTCTGCTGGGCCCCCAGAGTCCATGCTGCTGTGGGAAGCAGAGTGTGTGTCTGCCTCCCTCCAGGTCAGAGAAGCCAAATGAGGTGTGGTGTGGTGGAGTGTAGTTGGCAGCATGGCTCCAAGGGGCAGTCTCTGACCAGCGCAGCTCTAAGATACAGAGCTACTGCTTTCACAAACCTCAGTCACCCCTTTTGTAAAATGGCATAATGCCTCCAGTTTAAATGCAGTGTTTATAAGGTGCCTACTGTGTGTACCTAGCATGGTGGTATTTAGGTGTTTGTGTGCAGTGTTAGCCTTTGGTTGAATGTTAAGGATGACTTCAAAATTGTAATTCCCTAGCACCAACTTCAAGGTCCACGGCAATAAATAAAGACCACACACACACACACATACACACACACACACACACACACACATACGCACATATGTGTGTGTCCTGGGGTGGGCAGGCAGATTCTGTGACCACAGACAGGCTTCTAGCAGCTGTTAAGCTTTGGCCTGGCAAGTCAGCACACATATACACAGATACAAGACAGATGCTAAGGAACTGTGGACACTGAAAACTAGGAAGAAGAAGTGAGGGAAGGTCTTTCTTCAGAGAGAGAGAACAATAAAATGAATCATGTAAATGAATTAATTTGAAATGGGCAAGCCTCCAGAAGCCATGGAGACTAGGCTTAGGTGGCTGTCAGACTTTGGTAGCAGCAGAAGACTGACTGTGGTTTTAGGGACTCTGTCTCAGAGGTGCTGGTCCTGTGCACCCAGTCAACAGGAAGAATCACTCTGTGGTGTTAAGTGTCGGGCCACAAGTAGCCACCCAACTCTTGGGATTCGGGCTGCCCCAGTGCTTTGCTGAGTAAACACATCTTGAAATCCCTCCTAGTTTGGAAACCTTCAGTTTCCAAATTAGTAAGCCAATCTGTTAGAAGGCTAATTTGGAGAGAAGGGACTGGAAGCTGAGCATTAAGGAGAGAAAAGGAGGTTGAAGAGACCACCTAGAGACTAGGCAATGAAGCCAAGAAACCAGCAGAAGGTCTAGCTCATGGTGGCAATGACCAGGTCTCCTGCCAGTTCTGGTTTTCCAAATTGACAGAAAACCAATGGACTCAGTGAGTCTGTGAGCCCAGTGTCCATGTTACAGCTTACATCCCAAGGTTCTGTCGTCTATGCATTTACCTATTGGGGTACCCTGTCCTCTAACAGATTAGAATCAGGATCCACTCGTTGTGGTGTGGTGATGGACAGCTATAGGTTTACGGGTGTGGACTTTTGAGATCAGCAAACATGGGATCAAATGTAGACTTTGACTCTTACTCTATAACCTGGACATGTTCATCTTTTGCCAAGATTATGATGAAAACATGAAATATTTGCAATGACTCTGGCACACTGAGGTGCTTAATAGATGCTCATTCCCTTGGATCCTTCACCTCCTGTTTCCATGCGTTTTTGAAGACTGACATGATCAAACCTGCAGCCTGCCTCAGCTACTATCTACTCCCCAAATGCAGCTCACCCCTGAGACATTAGCCAGAGACTGGAGAGTCACCAGTTCAATCCCTCCTGTTTGTGCCTCACCTCTCACCTTGGATCTCAATTTGCATCCTATCCTCTCTTGGTGAGCCTTCCTTTGTAGCTCAAGGTCTTTTCTTTCCACTTCATGGTCACTTCCATTGCAAAATTTGGGAAGGCAGAGAGAGGGAGGGGTGAGGAAGAGAGTGGAGAGAGCAGTTGAGCACTAAGCAGAAAAGATGGGAGGACCCAGTGGGCTCTAGAAAGACACCTAGGACAATGCACAGGCCTTGCTGAAACACATGAGGAACAGCCTTCTGCCTGCTCAGGTGCAGATACTCAGTGTTGGCAAAGTCCTCCCATAACGAATGCCTTCATCAGGGTAGCCTCAAGTGATGAGCAGGAAGTGGCCACTGGGCCTCCAAAGTCAGAACTGAGAAATCTGGAGCTGAATGGGAGAAAGCCAGACTTCTGTAGAGAAATGAGCATATGAACTGTTCTCTGTTGACCATGGCTATCCTCTGCAGACCTCAGCTGGGTCACACAGCCTGGGGCATCACAGAGCTGCCTAGTTATCTATGCACATGTGGGCACACACACCCTTCCCTTGCCAAACCCCTGATTCAGGACAGAGGCTAAAGCCTCCTAGTAATCCTAGTTGCCAGGAGAGTAGACAGACAGATTGGGGAATGGATTGAGTTTCTTCTACTAGCTGTGTGATTACTCTGATTCTATTTCTTTGAAAAAAATAAGCTAACATTTATTTCCAATGATTGTGAAAGTGAAATGAGAGAACATACATAAGGACCTACACTCAGCACATTGCTCAGCACTTAAAAAGTTGTTCTCTGCCTGTAATCCTAGCACCGGGGAGGCTGAGACAGGAGGATCGCAAGTTCAAGGCCAATCTGGGCTATTTAGTGAGACCCCGTCTCAAACAAACAACAAAAGATATTCTTCCTTTTGAACTTTCTAAAACAGTGGACCAAGAGCAAGATTTTTTAGTTGTTGTGGTTGCTGCTGTTGTTATTTGAGACAGGGTCTCACTTAAGTAGTCCAGACTGGCCTAGGACTTGTGATCCTCCTGCCTCAGCTACCCAAGTGCTGGGATTATAGGCATGCACCAGTTTGAAGCAAGTTTTTGAGACCCAGGCCCAACATTTATGAACACTCATTAGAAGTGGATAGTTGACATGTCACTTTGATTTGTAATGATTCCTGATTTTGCCACCATCTAACCCTAAGAGTTAAACGACTAATAGGGTCACTTACCCATTGTGTGCACGTGTGTGTGTGTGTGTGTGTGTGTGTGTGTGTGTGTTTTTCAGGAAATATGCTTGAAATATGACTATGGTAAATTTCCCAAGAATAGGGATTGTGCAGCATTATTCTGTGGGCCCTATAGCCTTAATTTCCCAGGTGAGTTCCCAGGACTCACTAGGTATTGCTGCTCAAAAGGGGTTTTGTGGTGAAATATCTGGGCAAAAGTGCATCCTACCAAGTGTAGCCCATTTACTTATTAGTGTACTAAGTGGCATTGTGAATTTGCATGAGGGATAAGATTTGAGGTTCTTATTGTTGCTCTGAGAAACAACCATGAGCCTGTAGTTCTCAGGAAATCCACCTCCACAGTAGTATCACATTGGGCAGACAGTCGCTGCTCAACTTTAAGGAAGGTGAGTGGAGAAGGTGTGAAGTAAAAACACTAAGATTTCAGTGTACCACAGATGTTCTGTGTCCAGGGCAGTTTGGGACAACTAGTTTATTGGTTGGTTAATTTGCAAAACTAGTTAAAAAAAGGAACAACCATGCAAAAGATAGACTTTATGTTAATTTAAAAGTATACATATATTCATTTGCTAATCTCTTGAGATAGGGCCAAGGTCTCTTTCTGATTAAAGTTTATCATTTCACTTGCATAAACCTTTCCTATAATAAAACATCTCCAGATTCCATCTTTATTTAAAGTGGAATAAAAACACTGACATTTGGGGTCTAATCTGGCTACAAGATCGTTCTGGATTTTTTTTTAAATTATGTATTCCTGTCTCCTATGTCTATCTCACGTCATCCTAGCTAGTCAGCATTTTTAAACAAATTTGAATCTGAAGTTTTCCAAAGTTTTCTACCTAGATTTCTCAACCACAATAACTCTTCTTTTTGCACTTGTGTTTCATTTGTTAAATTGCAGTATTACTATAACATGCATAACTGGCACACACCAGTGTGGATACAAACACTGCTGACTCTCTGATAAGCAGATAATTTGGTGAAGAACATTCTACAAAGCAGCTAAGTCATGTCACACACCAGAGTCTGACAGCCAGCATGTACAGTTTACAGAAGGCCACCTTGGCTAAAAAGATACTGATTTTGAGCACTACCATGGTAAATACTGGTTTCTCCTTGTCTTCTTTCCCTCAGGTGGGAGTTGGTAGTTTTTGGTTGCTTTTGTCCTGTGTCTGAGGCTTCTTGTCATTTCCACTGTTCTGTGGTGTTAGCAGCTACAGAAATGTGTTGGGATTACAGTGTCTGAGATAGAGGTTAAATTCCAGAGCCTTTTTAGCTACAGTGAGATTGAGACAGTTTCATCTGTTAGCTGCTGTCTTCTGAGTCCCTGAAGAATCCAGTGACATTTTCTTGCTCTTGTGTTTTGGCTGAAAGAGGTTAAACTCCTGTTGGAAGCAGTTATTCCACAGCAAACCCAGGCAGAAAGAGAAGCCCTGGCAGAGAGTCTCCCGGTGGAGGAGGGAGAGGCACTGTTCCTTCACCCCAGCTTCAGCCCACACCAGCTTCGGCCCCCCTCCACCCCCTGCTCCACATCCCAGCATTGTCCTGATCTGCTGATGCTTCTGCACATTTCATCTTCAAACATGACGGCTCTCAGTGCTGCTACCATCCCAGCACAGGAGCAGCTTGCAGACTGTTGTCTGTGTGCCTGGAGGTCTTGGAGAAGAACCCAGGCCCCAGCAGGCCCTACCATCCTCCATGGCAGCCACCCCTGCACCTACCACGGCAGTCTGCCAGTCTATGCTCCATGCTTTAGTGCATCATTCATTTAGCCCACACAAACACCCTAGGAGGTAGGTTTTCCTGTGCGCCTCATTTTACCAG